TAAGATCTTTAAGTGTTATTGAGAACCAAATTGGGAACTTGTAAGAACACTTGACAGCCTTCATAGGAACAAAAATATCTAAACACTGATACATATAGCTGTAAAATATTTGACAAGCCTCATTTATATTATTACAATGGTATAATGCATCCCAATTAACTGAAGATAGATAAAGGTTAACAGAATTAAAATTACAGTTTTTGAAATCATAAACATAGTCTTCATAAAAAACTGACTCTTTAAAATAACCAATAGGGATAAAAAATTCATACGGCTTATGCCTGAATGATTCACAAAACAATGGATCGACCGGCGTACACACATTTAGATCAGGTATATGTGAAAAAATGAGATCCAGGAATGTTCCATGTCTGTTTGGTATATTATTGCACTGATGGAGATTTAAAAATGCAAAAGATCCACAAACTGTATTCGCATAAGATCCATCAGGAAGTATGGTAGATAAATAAACCCCGTTTTGATCATTAGCCCATTGAGCATCTCTCAGGTTGTAATCGCCAGCCAAGATCACAGAGCTCTGTGGATGTTGACTTATCAGTTCCTCAAGAAAGGTGCAGTCATATTCATATGCCTCAGCTAATGAACTAGGTGGTATAGATTCCTCCTATTATAAGCTGATCATCATTCAGTTTAACTTCCACAAAAAGTTGTTCTATGTTAAGCAAATTTGACTTACATATTAGTTTAGAGGGTAGGTTTTTCTTGATTGCAATATACACTCCTCCGCCCACAATATCCAATCCATGCTGATAGCGGTCCTGTCTGTAAACATTATAGTTTAATAGATCAGTCTCACTAACCAAAAACTTTTCAGATAACCACGATTCAATCAAAATAACAATATCATAATCATTTAGTAACAAAGAGTCCCTTAACTGAGAGAGTTTAGTTCGAAGTCCACCAACATTATGAAAGTAACATTTTAGGGTACTTCTCAGTTTTTTGGCTGGTTAGTAGTTTTTTTCACTATTGTAGGCTTATTGTTAATGAATTTGATTGTTTTAGAATTATCACCATTCTTAACCATATCATCTAATTGTAATTTGATTTTCTTGAAATACTCTTGTTGGGCTTTTGTTTGATCCAGGGAAATTCTGACATCGGGCACTTTAATTAATCTTTTATCTTTGACAACAGTTTTAGCATCATCAGCTGTATGTAATACTACTTTAATGGGTCTCGTTCTGTTAGTAAATTTTCCCAGTCTAAATAGTTTAACATTATTTTTGTTAATATTAAAATTAGTCAAAATATTTAGTACCGCTTGTTTGTCCTCTGCATTACGATCCGATTGATTATTTTTAACAGATTCATTAACATTATATATAATTATATTGAAAGCCCTATTTTGCCTCTCCTGCATTTCGGAAATAATATCCTCCATATCTGGTGCAACAGATGCGACATTTTCCTTATTTAGAATTTTATTTATACTTTCCTTAAGCTCACACACTTCTTTTAACAGAGCTGGCGTTTTTTAGGTATTGTGACAAAAATGGATTTGAGCCAATCTGTGGGAATCACTCCGGTGTTATATATTGAATTAAAAAGTCTTACTACTACTTTTATGTTATCATTCGCTATTAGTTTCAGCCACTTAGTTGGTGTATTATCTGGACCACAAGCTTTTCTAATTTTAGCATTATTTATAGCGTGTTCTACCTCGCATTTCATAATTTCTGGGCCGTCAGTACAGTTTTGGTAAAATTTTGCAATATTATTCCTGTCATCTTCAAACAACTCTGATATATACAGCCTCCATTCTTTTCTTTTCGTGCTCATTTACAACAAGTTTATTATTATTGTCAACGAGTACATAGGGAACTCCTTTTTTTAAATATGTTACACATTCCTTTTAGTTTTTTGTGCACATTAAATAAGTCGTGTTCTCTCTTCTCTATCCATTTTTCTTTGGCTAATTTGATCTTCCTTTTTATTCTTCTCTGCAGGTGTCTATATTATTTTTCATTAAATTTTATCAGTCGACGTTGTTCCATTAATTTCAATATGTCGTCTGTCATCCATTTATTTTTCTTGATTAAGTTTTTTCTATAATCATTGTCTGTGGAAATCAGTTCAAAGTATGTAGGTATGTTAAATCAGGCGAACCATCCCTTCAACTCAGGAAAGAATGCCTTAGCCTCAAATATGCCTCAATAGTATCAGCTAACCCAGAGGCACCTGAATATAAAAACACATTTACAGATAGATTTTCATCGATGTTCAATTGTGGAAAAAGATTGGATCCTCTATTTTATCATCGAGCGAAAACAGTGTTACAAAATTAAGACAATAATTCCACCCACTTGCAATATTTCAAAAGTCAGCCAACACATGTTACCATGGATTATTGCTCTCCTTGATTGTAATAAAAACCGTGCTGCATTTAAGAAATGTGAGATACCAGCCAAAATTTTCAAACCGAAAGTATTAAAGATATTAAATGGTTTTATTGATTGCATCCTTATTTTTACAGACGCATCCAGATCTGCAAAACGAAAAAGAAACAGCTTTTCCAATAGATAACTATAACAGTTCCTATCAGCTCCCTACCAAAATCTCCATATTCTCCACTGAACTCTTCTCTATTCTTCAGGCATTATGACATCAGATACTCTCTAATCATTAGCGATTCCCTTAGTGCATTAACAGCCCTAAAGCAACTGTACCTCAAACATCCCATCTTACTTTTATTTAGGGCGGAACTCTTAACATGTCAAAAATATCAAAGATTAGTTTAGTTCCTCTGGGTATCTTCACATTGCGAGATAATGGAAATGATAAAGCTGGCATATTAGCAAAAAATACAAGTGAAAATCTGTTAACCGACATCCTATTTACATAATCTAAATTGCAAATAAATTGGAATAGAAGAACTATTAAACAAAACATGAAGGAACCTCCTTCGACGTGTTCTGTGTGTGATAGTTAACTAACAGTGCAACATGCAGATTCACTTGTTTGTTTACTTGTTCTCGATTCTTCCGGTATTTCATTATGTTTTATAATTTTATTAATTAATGATGTTAATTTTTCTGTCATTGCTGCTCGAAAATATTACAGTAATTCGTTTAGTACCCCGCCTTTACCTGCTGCTTTTCTATTCTTCAGTTTTTCAAGTATTTTCCGAACTTCCTGTACATTCGTATTAAGTTCTTAATTTGTGGTAATTTCTGGTACTTATTTCATTTGTTCTTTCTCTGCCTAGAGCTTTTTTAGGTAGTCAATGCACGTATTCTTTTCTAGATAGAAAAGGGTATTTTATATGTAGGTATATATAGTACATTACAATCAAAACTAAGATTAATACTAATACCAAAATTAACTTTTGCGAATTTTTTGAAGAATCCGAATCTGCAAATAAAAATGGGTATTTCTATTTAAAATTTCAAAGATGTTCCGACCGCACCCCCTGGGGTGGGGTAGGGGTAGGGTGTACGCTCTTGTCCTGCGTCGTATTTCTGATTTGGTTACTTTTAACCTCAGTTCTACAATTATAATGTCAGCTGCTTCGATAATCATCTTCATTAAATGAGCTCTAGTTCAGATTGGAACTTGATAAACAAGTTCTTTGAATCTGTCCCAGATGTGGTAGTCACACGGTGTTAAATCGGGCGATCTAGCAGGCCACAAAATCGGTCCAGTTTGTCCGATCCACCTATTGGGATAGTGATTGTCGAACCAAGCCGTAACAGCACGTACACAATGTGCAGGCCATCCATCATGTTGGTACATCATTCTTCGTCTAAGGGCGAGGTGTAAATCTTCTAAGAGTGGTGGTAATTAATTCTCTAGAAAGTCTAAGTACACTTGACTATTTAACCAGCCTGCCAAAAAGTAAGGTCCTATTAACTCTCATCCGATAACTCCTGGCCAAACGTTGAAATTAAATTTTTGCTGAAAAGATGTTTATTTCTCTAGATGGGGATTGTCATGTGCCCAGTAATGCAGGTTGTAAAAATTTGTTATTCCTTCTCTATTAAAACTGGATTAATCAGTCCATAAAATACTTTTAAGAAAACTACCATTGTTGATGTCTGCATCTAACAAAAAGCGGCAAAAAATTACCCTTCTAATTGGATCACCTTCTTGAAGAACTTGTACTGGTGTGTAATGATAAGGGTAGCGTCCATCGTTGTACACTACCGACCAGACCTTCCATTGCGAGACATCTAACTGTCGAGCAACCTTTTTGACGCTTGTGGTAGGATCATTACAGCTTCCAAAATTTGGGAGTCTACACCAGGACCGTAACGTCCAGGATTAATACTGGAAACAGGATTGTTAACACTACCAGCTTCGTTAATTCATCGATATGTGTTAATAAAGACACATTTTCATGGAGAAGTCTCCGGTTAGGGTATGGGCGTTGATATTCTCGACGTGCTGCAGATGCATTTCCATCACTCCAGCCATAGAGAAACAGAATGTTTACGTACTCTGCATTCGAAAACGAAGCCATCACAACTAATCCATAAATCACGATATTCAGATACACAGTCTGGTTGTTCACTCAAACAAAGTTCAAAATCGTAATGCAAAAAAAACTTACCAGAAACTCCAAACACAATTCGGATGTCAAAACAGTAAAACGCACCTTTCGATACGCATACAATAACCATGTTTATAAACCAAAATAAACCACTTCATAGCAGGTAGATTGTTTTTTTGTTTGTTGTGCGTTCGGAGAATGACGATCAGTGCTGTAGGTTTACATTTTTATTCCATTCGTAAAACAGGGAGGTAGTACGCCTAGATGCTTTTTAAACGTGAAATAGACGGTTGTCGAATATTGACATATTGATTGAATATTAATTTAAACTTTATTTCGGAAACCTTAACAGTTTGAGCGATACATTATTAGCAAAACATTTTGCAAATGGCGTCCCCTATATCCTTTAAAAAAATTCCATCGACCTACCAAACACCCTGTATAAGTATATATAATAAGAAACTTATTACATTTTTTTTTGTTTCAGTGTTGATAAGCATCCGGAATATCCATTTCACGATAGTCTTTAGACATTATATATTGTTGTAATAAATAAAAAGATTTACATATTCTTTTTGTACTATTTTATTACTAAAATGAGCGATAGACACCAATATTTCAGAAAAAAAAACTGTTAGAATTTCGTAGAGCAAGTAACGAAATTAAAGTCATCAGCATAAAAAGAATGAACAAAAAGGTAAACAAAGAAGGTCTAACAAAATACAACTCGACCAAAACAGTATTGATTACATTTTTAGGAGAATTACAATGCCTAAACTTGTCTACTTTTATAATATGGCCAGACTAGTAACCACATATGTAGCACCACACACACACACAGTGGTACAATTGCCTAAGATACGACCATACAAGCCAAACTGCAAGGGAGGGGAAAGGTGCTATAACTGCGGGGGAAACACTCACACAGAGAAGTGTGAAACCAAACGTTTCTACTGTAAAGAGGCACACAAATCCACTGAGAAGATACGTGCAGAATACAACAGACAAAAAATTTTAAAGAACTAATGGCTTTTGGGAATTTAACATTATTTGAGACAAACGAAGCAATACCAAAGACATACTTACCCCAAAACAAATTCACCTATAAAGCATTAGACTTTCCAAGCTTGAAATCATAAAATACTACAGAAGGGACCCCTAATAATAATACAGTATCAAGCAATACCATAGATCCTCTCAAAGAAGAGTCCACAATTTCAGAAGCTCTGCAGTGGAAAGATCCTTTCAACAAGTAGTATGTAGTACTAAACACAAAGTAAAAGAAGGGCAGTACATAAAGGATATAACAAAAAGGGGCATAAAAGATATCTTCTTCTTCTTAGAGTGCCGTCTCCCTACGGAGGTTGGCAATCATAATGGCTATTTTTATTTTAGAACTTGCTGCTCTAAACAAATCAATCGATCTGCATTGGTACCAATCACGTAGATTCTTTAACCATGAGTTCTGCCTTCGGCCAACAGATCTTCTTCCTTGAATCTTTCCCTGTATTATCAGTCTCAAAATTTCATATTTTGGTCCCCTTATCACGTGGCCTAGGTATTCCAGTTTTCTGGTTTGTATAGTGGTGATTAGTTCTGTTTCTTTACCAACCCTCTCCAGTACTTCTTTATTTGTAATTCTATCAGTCCATGATATTTTCAATACTCTGCGGTATAACCAGAGTTCGAAGGCATCGATTCTTTTTAAATTACATTTTTTAATGTCCAAGTCTCAGCTCCATATAATAATATTGAAAATATATAACAGCGAATGGTACGTAGTCTGATCTCCAAATTTAGATTTTTACACGTTAGGAGTGGCTTCATTCGTATAAATGCTGATCTGGCAATCTCTATTCGTCTGTTTATTTTTACAGTATGATCATTGGTTTCATTGATCAAAGTTCCCAAATACTGATATTTTTCTACTTGTTCTATCACGTTACCATTTATTGTCAATAGGTGATAGTCAAAAGATATCTAAACTACCCTAATTCCAGACCAGAAATATGCAGTTCTTCACATGCATACCAAGCATCATCCGAACCTTCAACTTCGAATTATGACAATAAAACATAAAAACAAAGACAAACCAAGCCTAGCAATACAGTGCATGTCAGAATAATAAACAATCAAGCATTGCTCCATCAGAAGACCCCTTGAGATCTTTTTTAAATTATCTCCAAAACACATCAACAGAAAACCTATCCATAATTAAACTAGGTAATATGTTCAAGACTGAATTTAGAAAAAATTACAGAACGTAACGTACACTTAGAATATCAATCTCCTTTATAAGATAAGTATAACAAAGGTCAATCTAGTCCCATTACACCATACGATATGATCTCAATCTACATGGATTCAAAAACCAAACTAAAAAGCATACAGTGAAATATTAGAATCATTAAAGAAAATAGGGAAAACCTAAACAATTTAATCCAGAAACAAGATCCCGACATCATTGTATTAAATGAAATTTGGCTTTAACAAAGCTCTAAATTTACATTAAGAGGTTTTCACACGGTCAGGCAAGTCAGAAATGACGGATATGGAGGAGTTGCTACCTGTATAAAAAAATCCATTGTATTGTTTCCAAAAAGTATAACTTAGATCAAATCCAATATATTTCGACAAAAATTGCTAATTTGCACCCAATAAACATATATTCAAACACAGATAATGCCATTACCGAATATCTTCTAGATTCTATGGTAGAATCAACACAAACAGAAAACTTAACTATAATAGGTGATGAACTCACACCATCCCCTATAGAATAAAAGTCCTCCAAACAAAGGTGGAAAGAACATTTATGACATCTTATTTAATAAGGAACTCATAATCTTAAATGATGGATCATACACTGCTTTAACCCCCAAACAACAATCTCAGTGCAGTGGATTTAGTCATGGTCACCAGTAACATGGCCTTACTGTGGGTACAGTAACCACATCCCAACTCACATAAAAATAAACTCACCAGAAAACAATAAACTCAGAAAACAATAAACGACATCTGGACGTATACAAAATGAGAAATACACCAAAATCAGACTGGTACCCATTCCAGACCAATAAGAAAGCAGAGCTTGAGACAGCAGAGAATCCTAACTATGATGAGTTCTTAAACCTGATCAACCAAGGAGCTGATACCTAGTACAATACCTTTCAAATCAGTAGGAAATCCGTCCAAACCCCTGGTGGGACAAGGAATGTTACAGTTGGGTCAAGACTCGTAAAGGGTCAATAAAAATGTTTAATCAATGTCCAACGACAGAAAATTATGTAAAAACCAAACATATAATGGCCCAAACTAGAAAACACCTTTTCTAAAAAGGGCTAAAAAGAAAAATCTCTTTTTGTGAGTCGCTAAACACCACCTATGTTTGGAACAAAATAAAAAAATTCTCGAATCATCACTACAATGGTTAATTATTCCATAACCTTTAGGATAACGTCAAATTGAAACATAGCTGCAAAACATGCAACAAAGTAGCACCAACTACAGTTAATGGATTGAATAATGACATGAACAACAAAAAATCCTCAACATCGGGCATAGACGAAATTTCTTACTCAATGATTACAAACTTGCCCATCAAAGCCAAAAAAACTCCTCACAAAATACCACAATGACTGCTTAGAGGATGGTCCCCTTCCTAAAGATTGAAAATACTATAAAGTTGTTAACATCCTAAAACCTCAAAGAAACCTCTTTGTAGTTGGTAGTTTTAGATCTATTGTACTATCATCACGAATACTTAAAACCTTAGAAATTGTAATCAAAAATAGATTAGAATGGTATTTAGAACGTCATTACCCTTTCAAAAACTCCCAAACAGGATTAAGAAGGGTTAGAAGCAGAGCTGACAACCTAGCAATGATCCATCCCACAATTATGGAAGCTTTTGAAAATAAATAGTGCATCTTAGCCATATTCCTTGACAATAAAGCGGCATATGATAATGTCAACAGGAGAATTTTACTGTCATCATGTCATGTGTTTGTCTTTTTAAAAACGAATTACATGCTATGATTTTTCTGGCGGATATTCTCAAGTTAAAGTTGATTTCATGTAATCGAATGAACTATCTTATAAGTAAAGTCGTCCCAGGAGCACAACTCAACAATATTGGCAATATCATTTTAAAGTCGTCTACTTTAAAATGCATAATGTATGTCTGAATTGTCAATATAAATGAGTCAGATAAAATTAAATTATTAGAAGAATTTTTCACAATGTAACAAAAAACAAAATGTGTTTAATTTACTGTTTGTATTTTGAGAACGATTTCCGAAGTGGAAATTGAAACGTCAATAAACGTATTTTTATCTTTAATTGTGGCTTATTCCCAGTTAAACAGTAATTAATTCACTAAATTTTTGTCTAAAATCATCTCAATAGGAAACCTTCCAATAGTACTGGCTCTGTTCAACATACACAAAAGCCTCATAAACAATCCAAGGTTTCATAATAAAACCCAAATACCATATTTGGTTAAAGTCTTGGAATACTTTTTCCCATACTACAAAAAGATACATAAAGACACTAACTACCACTACTACAAACTAAACTTTGAAACCTGAATCAACACTCAAAAACCCTAAATTGTAACGGAAATTAAAAAAGAAATTATGACCAAAGAAAAATTCATAATAACAAAAGAAAAATAGACAGGAGTAGGTACACCTTTATATACATAGATCCCTCAAAAAGCAAGGATAGGGTAGGCTTCAGAATAAATATCCCTAACATAGAATACAACTTCTCCTCCAGACTCCCAGGTGAACTATGCATCAGTAAAGCTGAAACTATAGAAATACATGCAGCAGTCAAAGTAGCTACCAAAAAAGAATTAAAGAAAGCAATAATCTTTTCTGATTCACTTACTGCCATTACCAAAATCAAAATATGTAACCTATCAGCCAGGACACATGGGTCCTAGAAATGAAAAAGCTTATATCCTTGGCAAACTATGGCTACAATATGGATTCTGTGTCATGCAGACATTTTAGGCAACACAAAAACTGACACTCTAGCAAAAATTGGAAGAGAGCTGAATATAACCATGAAGATGCGCTTAGACACCAGGATGCTTGGGCAGCTATTAAAAGAAGCATAATAAAGGACTTTAAAAACAAGTCCAAAACATATATCCAACTAAGCCCTGGTACACGATACCCCTAAAAAATATATGTACTGGCCATTGCCTAAAAAAGCAACACCTATACAAATTAAAAATAATTGAAAACCCATATTATGAATGTGGACTGAAAGAGGATCTAAATTAAATTTTTTCGAATGTCCTATTAATGCCATCCCAATGACCTTTACACTCAACTCGTCTCAATGAAGTCCAAAGCACCTCTGTCTATACCTACAGTACTTTACCAACCCTCAGAAGACCAGAAGAAACTATTAACAGATCATAAAATTCCATCAATAAAATTGACTTGTAAAATGTTAACAACCATAGGAAACTAAAACGTATATTTTTTTATCTTTTCTTTATTTTCTAGCTTGTACAAAGCTCTTGCTTCTACTCTTTAATAAATCTACA